TCAGCCCGTCACTACAACCACTACAACGCTCATCGCTCACCACCGCTCACTGCTCACCTCCAACTCCAAGGATGGGTCATCCTCTTTTTGCTATCACGTGGCCATCTCAACAGTGATTTGGTGATTCCCTTCAAGCTTTTAGCCTCTCACCATGTCGTCATTACAACCCCTACAACGCTCACAGCTCACCTCCAGCTCCAAGGTTGGGTCGTCCTCTTTTTGCTATCATGTGGCCATCTCAACTGTGATTCAGTGATTCCTTTCAAGCTCTCAACCTCTCACCGTGCTGTCACTACAACCACTGCAAGTTTGCAACGCTCACCGCTCACCACCGCTCACCTCCAGCTCCAAGGCTGGGTCGTCCTCTTTCTGTTATCGCGCGGCCTTTTCCTCTGCAGCTCTACCTCAGATTCTTTTCAAACTCTCCAACTCCAGGCATCAATTAGATGCGGTTTTTGAAGCTACCGGTTTTGTGCTTTAGTGCTTTAGTGCTTTAGTGCTTTAGTGTTTCTAACTAGTATAATTTAATTTTTGTGCTTTAGTGCTTTAGTGTTTCTAACTAGTAATTTTTGTGTTTTTAACTAGTAATTTTTAATTTAATTTTGTGCTTTAGTGCTTTAGTGTTTTTAACTAGTAATTTTAGTGTTCTATCTAGTAATTTCTAATTTAATTTATGTGCTATAGTGCTTTAGTGTTTCTAACTATTAATTTCTAATTTAATTCATTCTTAGGTATCAATTAGCCAATGTCTTCACAAGAGCCTAGCCCCCCATCGATTCAAATTCCAAATGAATCAAGTGCAAGTATTATACTGAGTGTTGCTGCTACACCAACTTCATCCTCGGCTATGATTCCTCTTCCTCTTGCATTAGAAAGTGGTGAAGATAAAAAAAGATGATCAAGGACATAAGCGGCCACTTACTTTTGAAGCATGGAACCATTATAGGAGGCAAAAAATTAATGGTCATTGGAAATCTATTTGTGTCTATTGCAATAAATATCTTGGAGGTGAGACCAAGAATGGGACAAGTCATTTGCGTGATCACACTTAGGTCTGTCCATTGAAATTTGTTTTTGACATAAGGTAGACATTTTTGAGAGCTTCAAAGAATTAAGAAGGGAAAACAGAACTTGGGCATGGACTTTTCGATCAAGAGATGGCTAGAAAGGAACTTGCATATATGATTATTGCACATGAGTTACCTCTATCAATTGTTGATCATATTTTCTTTAGAAGGTTTGTTGCTGCTCTTCAACCAAGGTTCAAGTATGTTTCGAGAAACACAATCAAGAAAGATATCATGGGCATCTATCGTAATGAAAAGTCTAAAACAATGAAGTTGTTGGAGGTCAATCAAAGTAGAATTGCCATCACAACTGACATGTGGACTTCAAATAATCAAAAGAGAGGTTTTATGGTCATCACAACACATTATATTGATAATTCATGGATGTTGCAAAATTGAATTATCAGGTGACATTTTGTTATTTTTGTTCTAATTTTTTAAATATACATTTATATTTATGAGTTTAGAATATTTAGTGTAATTCTTTCTATTGTTTTTTATAGTTTTCAATATGTGCCTTGTCCATATACTTCTAAGGTACTTGTAAAGACTTTGTTAGATTGTTTGATGGATTGGAATATTGATAGGAAATTGTCTACTATCACAATAGATAATTGTTCTACTAATGATGCCATGATAAATGTGTTGTTAGGAAAAGTTTCTGATGATTCATTATGGGTAGAAGGAACCTTGATACATATGCGTTGTTCTGCACATATCTTGAACTTAATTGTCAAAGATGGGTTGGAGGTAATTGTAGATGGAATTGAGAGGGTTAGAGAGAGTGTTGCTTTTTGGACAGCAACACCAAAAAGAGAGGAGAAATTTGAAGAGACAACCACATAATTGAAAATTGTTTTTTCAAAAAAAGTAGTTCTTGATTGTAAGACTAGATGGAATTCAACCTATTTAATGCTTCATGTGGCTTTATGGTATAAAAATGTTTTCTCGCATTTGAAACAAAGGGACTCACAATATAAATGTTCACCATTAGAGGAGGATTGGGAAATGGCCGAGGAGATTTCTAGTAGGTTGATGTTGTTTTATGAAATCACTAAGTTGTTTTTAGGAAATAAATATCCTACTGCTAATATTTTATTCCCAAAGATTTGTGAAATTAAAATTGCATTGATGGTATGTTTGACTCGTGGAAATGTTGTTATAGAAACAATGGCAGGAAAAATGATTGATAAATTTGACAAGTATTGGAGTGAGGTTCAAGGCATTATGGCTCTAGCAACTGTTTTAGATCCTAGATACAAAATGGAGTTGGTAGAATTTTATTTTATTGAAATTTATGGAGATAGAACTAAAGGGGAAATGCAAAAAGTTTTGAGGCTTTGTTATGATTTGATTGATAGATATCAATCTAAAACTTCCCAAAATGAGAGGTTTGTGCAAGTGTCTAGCCATTCTCCACTAGTGGCTGCCTCATCTTCCTCTATGATTGGCAATAAAAATTTTGTTGGAAAATTCAAGACATTCCTTACTTCAAAAGGTAGTACACTAGCTGTGAAATCAAAGTTAGATGCTTATTTAGAGGAAAGGGTGGTTCCATTTGAGGTAGAAGAAACTTTTGATATTCTGAATTAGTGGAAAGTTCATGGGGCTGGGTTTCCTATATTGCAAATGTTTGCTAAAGATGTGATTGCCATTCTCATATCCACTGTAACTTAAGAATCAGCTTTTAGTACTAGTGGAAGAGTTATTAGTCTACATTGGAGCAAGCTTAGACCAAAAACGATACAGGCATTGATGTGTCTTCAAGATTGGTTGAAGAGAGATCTTAAAGGTATTTAATTAAGGCTATATTTCTTTTATTTTCTTATTTTTGAATTTGTATTCTAAACTTTTATTATGTTTGAAATTCAGGTTCT